CCGCACCACAATTCAAAAGCATCAATTCTGTGGCAGTCAGCCTCTTTTATGGTCCAGCTCTCACTTCCATACATCGCTACTGGAAAAACAATAGCTTGACTATGCGGACCTTTGTCGGCAAGGTGATGTCTCTGCTTTTTAAGGTGCTGTCTAGGTTTGTTATAGCTTTCCTCACAAGAAACAGGCGTCTTTTAATTTTGTGTCACTGCCTCCATATCTTCCCCTTCTATTTGCCAGGAGGTAATGGGACCAGTGGCCATGATCTTAGTTTTTTTTGATGTTGCGCTTCAGACAATTTTTGGCACTCTCCTCTTTCACCCTCATTAAGAGGATCTTTAATTCCTCCTCACTTTCTGCCATCAGAGTGGTATCAGCAGCATCTCTGAGGTTGTTGATATTTCTTCCGGCAATCTTAATTCTGGTTTGGGATTCCTCCAGTCCGGCCTTTCGCATGATGTATTCTGCATATAAGTTAAATAAGCAGGGAGACAATATACAGCCTTGCCATACTCCTTTCCAATTTTGAACCAATCAGTTGTTCCATATCCAGATCTAACTGTTGCTTCCTGTCCCACATATAGATTTCTCAGGAGATAGATAAGGTGGTCAGGCACTCCCATTTCATTAAGAACTTGCCGTAGTTTGTTGTGGTCCACACAGTCAAAGGCTAATGGCAGAGCTGCCCCCAATACTGTTTCTGGATTGTAAGAATTCGGTTCAAATCCAGAGGGTGCCATAAAACATTGCACAAAGGCAGCTTCTGATTGGAGTGAGGGGGGTATCTCCCTATGAAATGGATGGGCAAACAATCCCTGCATGTGAGATTTTGTGCTGGTGACAGATACTGGCGAGGAAGGGGGAAAGGGGCAATTATTGCACTTTAAGGTATCATTGAGTCCTGGCAAATTATCATTGCTTGCAATGTTCAGTTTCAGATGGGAAGATTTATGATGCGTATGTGTTGTACCCAAAATCAGATACTCAGAATCACTTTGCCCTGAAAGTGCTGCCCGAGGTTTTGGAGAAACAGTGTGGCTATAATCTCTTTATACTTGGGAGAGATGATTTACCAGGAAAAGGTAAAATGTGACAATCATTTTTTCCCCTTCGTTGGTTTTACTATAAAACAAATAGCCTTGTCTTAATCTTGTTGATATTAAATCAGAGATGTTATGTAATACACAGACTCAATCTTGGGTGTGCTCTACCCATGTGAATGTGTGTCACTGCTGGATTGGCTCCAGGGATTTCTCTGTTGGCAGCATCTGACAGTGAATCACCAAAATGGTGCTTTGAGCTCATTCAATGCCTGGCAATTTAGACAGAGGGCTGCCATCTCATAGAAAAAAGAAAAAAAAAAGGGGGGGGGGGTTATGTGGAGCACCAGATTTATAAATCAGATCCAGTTTTACAAATGACAGCTCTTGTATCCAAACCAGGGAATGGGCCCCCAAATAGTGTTCCCATAAATAAAACTATAGCTAGGGGCCTGGATACTTTTTTGTCTTAGCAGTGGAACCCTGGCAAATGCTTTAGAGTGGGGTGTGTTGACATTGGGGTGCATGGGGGGGCTGGCGAACTTTCTCTGTAATATGATTAAACAAAAAAAATAGTCCCTCCTTAAGCTGACATGAAGGAAATGATTTTTTTTTTATGAAACAAGTCCTCCCCGTGGGCTGTGTTCTTATCTCAGTACACCATACTGGCTTGGTCAGGGCTGTTTGCATTACACCCTGAAGCTGCTGCCCCCACACCCCCAAATTTGGCATCATGGCAGCAATAGCAAAGCCTGCAGCTTTTCCTTAGAAAACGATACCAGGACATGATTTTGCTTTTAAGCAAAGCATGTGTGCTGGGTTTGAAAGGAAACATCTCTGAAATCTGACCAGCCATTTGCATAAGACACTTTCTGGGATTTTTCTAGCTCATTCCAAAAATGCACTGCACTGTAAACACCATATGCGTGTCCCCAAAGTATGTGATTTATTTGTAGGAATAAAAATGTGGTGGTGATGTTGCCTGTCTTTTGTCGGTTACAGCTGTAGTCAGTGTTGTCGATGAAACGGTTCAACAGAGCAGAAGGCTGATAATTATCTTAGTCCCAGGACTAGAGCCATGTCCCGAAGAGGCGCCTGAGCAGCACATAGCTATGTACCATGCCCTTGTACCTGCTGGAATGAAAGTCATACTGATCGAAATGGGTAAAATAAAGGATTATAGCAACATGCCAGAATCCATTAGGTATATCAAGCAAAAGCAGGGTGCCATCAGATGGAAAGGGGACTTAACAGAAAGAAGCTCTTATTCTACACACAACAAATTCTGGAAGAAAGTCAGGTATTTAATGCCACCAGAACGCCCTATTTCCCCAGCGCTATCTGTGAGACTATCCTCTCTCAACACTTGTGAAAGGACAGAAACATCTTGATGCAGAATGATGTCATTTTTGCTGACTCTTGAAATGATAGCATTGAACAGCTATCTGGCAGGACACTGTTAGATCACCTGTTTGGACAAGGCGGCTTATCCATTTTCAAGCAGATTCATGACTGATCGGCGTTTTCAGGAGCAGGGCGCATACGACATTTCAAACAAACAGTGTGAAAGGACAACTGAACAGCATTTGGAGCAGCTGCGGCTCTCCTGCAAGAAGAAATCTACACCATGAGTCTGTTCCATTTAAATACGTGTGGAACCACAGTCAACAATAATCAGTGTTGAGAGTATGGCTGGTCAAGAGAGGCCCATACAACTCAGCCATGTTACCCAAACTTTCCTGTGGTGGGTGACCTGTGGAGTGAATCTTGTATCTTCTCCTTCTGCCAAACAGCTCATCAAAGGATATTTTTAGCTTCTTGTAAAGCAAAGCGAGGCAAGCTGTTGCCCCGCAGGTATCTGGACAACTCCCACAGTCTTTCATCAGTGACTGTGCTGGCTATGTTGTAGCCCAAAACATCTGGAGGACTCAGGGTTGTCCACCTCTGGTGGAAAACTATAGAGGAAAGTTGCAGCTGCAGCATAGATAGGGATGGAAAATATCTCAATTTCATTGCATTTCTCCAAATCCAGCCTGCATTCCTTCCCACTTTCTGTTTACGTTAGGTTGCCAGATCTTGCTTTTTGCTGCCACACAGAGGTGTTACACATTTCATATCTCTGTCTATATCTTTCTTAATGTGCACATTTTAAAGATATTGTACATATTTTATACTCCTTGACTAATGCATATTTGTGTATATTTTCCAATACTGTAATATGTGTTTCTGTTGTTTGCATTTTAAAATGTATGCATGGTTTTGAGCATGCAAGACTCTGCATGCAAATATGTGAATTTCTCAGGCAAGGTGATCTGTCTCTTGCAGCAACTTTGAAGAAATGCAAAATGGGTTATTTCAGCATGAATCTTGAAACCACTGAAATTATTTCATATATGTGTGTGAAGCTGAAGTTAGCGTAACAGTAAGTTACAACTTATTGGCCACATATATATTCAGTAGTGTAAATCTCAATAGCCGATTGCTGTTAAAGTGTCCAAGCTTGCATTTTTTTGTGAGTACCAGTTCCATGAGTTGGCGTATGATGAGGAATAAAAACATAGACTCCCTAACTGACAGCAATTGACCACTGAAATGTATGCATTTCACTTGCACCAGCATATGTAGGTAATTGGATTCTACTAAAATGTGCTAAAAAGCCCCAGTCTATATTTAAACTTCTAGATGTACACTGGAATTTATGAATATAACTCATTTCAGCTCTCACTCTCTCAGAACTGTATTTGTCATTTTCTTTTTGTTCTTTAAATTATCCACTTTGAGATCTCTGATGGAGTTTCTAGGAGGTTGTAATGTGAACACTGGCTTTGGGTGCTGCCATTCTGATGTCAGATTTGTGTCCACTCATTTTCTTGCACAAGAATTTGTGATTTTGTAAATGGTGACCACATTTGGCTTATGCAGATCTGCAGTTTCAAATGTAATTGTTATAAGGTTTTTGTTTTAGTTTGCAATTCATTTATCTCTGACCTCACAGCTTAGATTCCCCCCTCAACATCTGTGTATATGTGTGCGTGTGCGTGAACACACACAGAGTATGGACAGTGGTGCCTCGCTTGACGACGTTAATTCGTCCCAGCAAAATCGCTATAGAGCGAAAACATCAAGTGAAATAAAAAAACCCATTGAAATGCATTGAAAACCGTTCAGTGCGTTCCAATGGGCTGAATACCTGCTCATCCAGTGAAGATCCTCCATACGGTAGCCATTTTCGGATGCCTGTTATGCGACAAATGCCTCCTAAAAACAGCAGGGAACCATTTTGAGGAGCCGGTGGCTATTTTGAAAACCTGAAGATCAGCTGTTTTGATCGTTGTAATGCGAAGAATCGGTTCCCGAAGCAGGGAACCGGTTGTCGCAAAGCAAAAAAAACCCATTAAAACATTGTTTCGTGATCGCAATTGCGATTGCAAACACATCGTCATGAAGCAGATTCATCGTTATACAGGGTAATCATTAAGCGGGGCACGACTTTATATAAGTGTGTGTAATTAACTTGTAAACTGCCAAGACTGCCCAGAGAGTGCTTTAAGTACTATGGGATGGTATAAAAGCAACACACTTTGCTTTTTAATTTTTTCTGCCAATCGAAGACTAGCTTCTTTTAACACAAGCCGGAATATGACAGCAGAAGTACATCCCTGCTGCATGATTCCCAGTGTCAACCCATCCCACCATCCTGATTCTAACAGTCATTAACCTAACACTTTCGAGGCTCCCATAAGCCAGATATGAAAAGCCTGCACTATATTCTGCAAGCAGTTGGAACATTAGCTCTGAACAATGCCATTTAATTTAATAGCCCTAGATAACCACATCGTCTGTTAGTATGTCTATATAATTTGGCAGTGAGCAGCGGCATCATAGCATTGTGAGGTAGTGACTTCCATATGTTAATCCATCACTGTGTGATGTCCTGTCATGAGGCATTTATCTGTTCATTTTTTAAATATATTTAATTTATACACACCATCTTTCTTACCAGTGGGGTTCACAGTGGCTCAAGTAGTGTCTGTCCTCCATTTATTTCCAGTCATTTTCACTGAATGATTCCAAGCAATGTTGTTAGGAGAGGGAGGAATAAATCATAGGTTTGTTCTCCTTGCAGTCCAGGGGACTCTCAAAATCCTCCTCTAGCACCACAATTCAAAAGCATCAATTCTTTAGTGGTCAGCTTTCTTTATGGTCCAGCTCTCACTTCCATACATCACTACACGTGATTTTCCTTGCATCCATGTCTTGTTTTTATCTGGACTTAGTTTCGTGATGGTTTATTGGAGAAAAAAACATGACCTATGAAGTCGGATTGCTGAGGCACCTGTCTCTGACGTGATTGTTTTAATTGTAGGGAATACATCATTCTTTTGACATATAGTTTAACCCTTGGGGGGGGTGTTCCAAGGATTTGATCACCTGACTTAACTTTTTCTACATGTTTTCTGCTTCTGTTGCATCCTTGGTACAATGGGGTGACTAAATAATAAAAAACTGTGTTAATGAGATTTGGGGATTTAGCTATCTATAATATCTATTTTTAAAGGCACAGTTTGTTATGTATCTACAGTACATCGAAATCAGCAATATTCCCACCTTAAGTAGAAAAGATATTTTAGAAAAAAGTCAGTGATGGGAGGAAATGTCATCACTTCAGTGATGATAGAAGTGGAGGAAATGGATAAGGACAAGATTTTCTCCATCCACACTAGAAGCTGGATGGTGCAACATTTTGGAACAGCTCAAAGGACTGCATTGAACTATGTATGAAACTGTAGCTGCTACAATAAATTGGGACAAATATCAACTTTCGACATCTATTGGAGGGAACTAGGCAAATTCATGAAGCACAAGGCTGTGAATGTCTACTAGCCAAAGTGGCTATGTGATGGCTACAGGACTTGTATACCAGCTGCTGGCACCATCAGTTGGGCAGGACTGTTGTATCTTGCTGGTTAGCTTCCTATAGGCATCTGCTTGGCCCAAGATCAGCCCCACTATTAGCCAGGTAAAGGCAGTGACCTTGGGTGTCAGAGGGTGGTACCGAGATGGTGGCAGAAGCAGCAGCAACCCTACCACGGGCCTTTCTCCTGTATTGGAGGACACAGTTGTATCTTCCAGGTAGCCCAACAGTTGGTGGCCTCCAAAACTATGTAAGATGGAGGATGTCCCATCCTAGTGAAGCAAAATGGCATAAGAATTGATTGACAGATGCTGTCAGTCAAGTTGGAGGTGGGGCCTCCACACTATCCTTTGCCTCAAGATACAGCAGGCTTGGTCTGATCACTATATTGGGCACAATGTTTTGTATGTTCAAGCAGAAATCTTAATTTCCCTGTTAGTCAAACTGTATAAGTGCAGTACTTCCCAAATAACTTTGTAGGGATGGGTAGCATTGTCCCTTCAGATATTGTTGTATTAAAATTCCCATCAGCCGTAGACAGCATCATATTCCCTTCTAATATATTTTTAAAATGTGCTGAGCAGAAATAGAAAATGGTTTACAATTGAGGATACAGTGATGCAATTAACCTAATGCAAGCTGTCTAAAAGATGAAAAACCTACATTACAATAATAGCTGTGGGCCTCCTTCTCAGTTTCTCCCACAGAAGGGAAAATATACAATGCATATGTTTTCTATTCCAAAAATCTCACAAATAACACAGATGGAAATAATTTTATGGGCTCTTTTGTCTATCGGATCTGACTAAAACTTCTAGAAATTAAATGTGGATATCACTTATGTATTTTGGGAAAAGGCAAGTTATCAAATCAAAATTGTTCAGGAAAAAAAAAGGTAGAAATTAACACTCCATTATATTCCATCTATACGGCTTCTGTTGGCTGGACAACTCCGTGCTTTAGGTACCTGTTTGCAGAGCCAGAGGTTGGGAGTTCTATTCCCCATTGTGCCTCCTCTGAGAAAAGCCAGATTGTGTGGCCTTGGGCAACCTGCAAAGTCCTAAGGCACCCCCAGAAGAAGGCAATGGTAAACCGCCTCTGTGTATTCTGTACCTGGAAAACTATGAAAAGGGTCACTATATTAGAAAATTTACTTCATGTCACCTGATTGCTATTATAGTTTCTAGCCTAGCCTAAGACGAAAAGCTCCTCAGTGTATGGCACGCAATATGTAGATTGTTGGCTTGATGGATATAGAGACACCTTTGAGGACACAGCAGCTTGGTACTGTTTCAAAATTGGTACAAAATAGACATGCCCAAGTGGCCATTCTGGCTGGAGGATACAAAGTACAATTTCCAGGCTCTGGAGATTATACAGGCATGGTGTACATATCTGCCCAATTTACATATAAAGTCTCTTCAACTTGCAGCAATTAGATGTGGTGAGCTGTGCAAGCTTCACACAAATGCCACTAAGATTCTGGCCACTGTGGCTGCTCCCCCCCCCCCTTTCTTATATTATTTCACATTTCTGTTTCTACTATAAAAGTGGGCAAGGAGAAAATTCTGTGCTTTATTTATATTCCCATGTCTTTCGGGGGCCTTATTTCAGTAAAAGTAGGAAGCTGACTGACATCTGAAAAACTGTGAAGTTTTTCATTTTCATTTGAAAAACCTTGGATCCTTTTTAAGGAGAAAGACGGGATAAAATATTTTAAATAAATATAAAAGGAAACAATTGGCTATAACCAGCAGGTGGCAGCAGGTGAGTGAGAAACAGAGGTGGCTTGTTCAGATTCTCAAGAAAACTCTCTTTGCAAGTTATGTACCCATTCACAACTAACATTGTCTCGTTGAGGTTTTTCTTTTATTTTTGAACCTTGTATTTTCTTGTATTTTTGAACCAATGAGGCATCTCAATGGGGGAGATCTCTTCCATAAGCTATGAGCTTTCTAGGCAGAATGTTACCTTCCACATGTGAGGAACAGGATTTTTGTTTTTATTAATTATCAGTTATATTTATATCCCACCTGTCTTCTAATAATCTCAAGGTTGTGTATGTGGCTCTCAATTTCCTTCCCAGGAAACTATTCCATGAGGCAAGTCAAAGTGACTCGTCCAGGTTTATCCAGGGGGCTTCTTAGCTGGATGTGGTGGCGCTGTGGGCTAAACCGCAGAAGCCTGTGCTGCAGGGTCAGAAGACCAGCAGTCGTAAGATCGAATCCACGCGACGAAGTGAGCTCCCGTCGCTTGTCCCAGCTCCCGCCAACCTAGCGGTTCGAAAGCATGCAAATGCGAGTAGATAAATAGGGACCACTTCGGTGGGAAGGTAACAGCGTTCCGTGTCTAAGTCGCACTGGTCATGTGACCACGGAAGATTGTCTTTGGACAAAATGCTGGCTCTATGGCTTGGAAACAGGGATGAGCACCGCCCCCTAGAGTCGAACATGACTGGACAAAAATTGTCAAGGGGAACCTTTACCTTCTTAGCTTCACGAAGTTTCAAATCTGAGTTGCCCCCATCCAGTACTCTAAACACTATATCATACTGGGTCTCAGTGTAATTGGAATGTGGTAAATGCATTTATCTGTATAATAAATTTTTAGTGTGTAACACTATTATAGCATGCTTCTTAGTGCACACAATGAATATGCCAAAAGTAGCATAGTTTGAACCTCCTTGAGCCAGGTTTAAGGATCTTCTGATGTAATCACTGGGCTAATTATGACAATAAAATGTTTAATTATTATTATTATAAGGTACATAGGATAGAGTGGAGACTGTGTCTTGCGGCATAAATAGTAAAACTACATTGAATCTGAACAAACTTTGATATTCTTTCAGTTTTATTTTATTTTATTAAAATGTAACTATTTTAGTTACACACTAAAAGCCACCTAGAGTGGTCGAGTAGACCAGATAGGTCCCCACTCTATAAATCAAACAAACAAACAAACAAACAAACAAACAAACAAACAAACAAACAAATAAATAAATAAATAAATAAATGCACACTTAACATTTTAAATCTTTCAGTTACTTTTTCCTATACCGTAGCTACATTTGGGCTGCTTCTTTCTGAAGGAGAAAACAACTGAATCAACATATAGATTCTGAATATGCTCAGTTTTTTCCTTTTGGTAAAGAACATGCAGCCCAAAGGTAGCTGCAGGAAAACAGAACTTCCATATTCACCACTGTGTAATTTGTGAAGATCATGATCCAGACCAAACAAACCACTGGGGAGGTATTGCAGCAGATGCAATGAGAGAATTTCAGCAATTGACGCTCCCATGGGTACATGTAAAAAGTCATATTCCAAACAAGTACAGGGTGACCTGTCCTTCTTAGCAATGGCCTCCCAGCCACTTCATGTTCATAATATCATTTTGAATGTTCTTTAGATAGAAAGGTGACCCTTATGTTCATTCTGGTTGCTACACCGAAATTAACTTTATCTGACCGGACCCTGTCTTTGAAATTCCAATACAGTACAGGATAGATCTGTGCACAATTTTCACCGCAACACAATTGTCTTTCTTTACTTTTTTTAAATATCTAGCACTTCTTCTCTTAATTACTGTACTGAATGTGAACTGGAACACACTCTAAGATCAGCCCAGATCATATTTTCTTATCGGAAAAACTGTTTCCTGTGATTCTGCCTTTATTTTTACTACCAAATACAGTATTCCTATGTACTTTACAGGAAAGCAAGATACAATTTCCTTTAATTTGCTGTGCTGTGCTTTTTGCTGTGGGCTGTGAATGTGTATTTGCCACAACTGTTAAATACAAGCTTCCATTGTTGAAGCAGCATAGCCTGAATTCTAAAGGCTGGGGAGGAAAGGCCCTCTTTACGCTACCTTTCGGACTAGTCTGAACTCTGGAACACAGGACATGAGCCGAGGCCGACCTTCCACTCCTAGGAGGGTACCTGAAATGTGATATAGGACCTTTTGATATCACAGAAACGATAGGAAAAGCCCTATTAGGATTGTTGTAAGTCCTCCAGAGTTTATTAAAACCAAACAAACCCCAAAATGAATGGTTGTATTGTCTGGGAAGAAATGCATTTTCCTAGGAACTGAATACTGCACTTTGTTGAAATAGTGTTGAAAATAAGAGGGTCCTAGAGCAGATCAAGCCGGAACTCTCTCTGGAGCCAAAAATGATGAAACTGAGGCTGTCCGACTTTGGGCTCATCATGAGAAGGCAAGCTTCGCTGGAAAACCTTGCTCTCTGATTCCCAGCGCTTCCGTGTCTCCTCGCGAGCAAGGTCGGCGGTCGCTATACACGCGCCTATTTTACTATTTTAAGCTCGCCCAGGCGCCTCGGGAGTCTCTCTTGCTCTAAACACGGGTATCCCGCTGGAATGTCTTCGCTCGACGAGGCGCCCTACTTCTCCTCCTCCCTCCTCTCTTCCCAACTAGTCCGCGGTGAGGCGGCGGCGGCGCCACCCTCGAAGAGTGTACACTACTGTACTTTCCCCCGAGTCACCGCGGGCTTCAGGTCAGAGGGCGGGGTTTCCAGGCAAGCAAGCGGGAATGGCACCGTCAGCACCTCTCCTTGACACGAAGGAGCGCGCGCTGCTGAAAGCGGCACCCCCGACCTGCCCTGACTCTTTCCCCTCCACCTGGCCGAAACAGCCTCCGAAGAGCGGTCGGGGAGGGGGGGCCCTAGGAAAAAGAAGCGCCTGCTTCGTGTCTTCTGAGGGGGCGTGGGGGGACCTTCCGTGCTTCTGCCCCCCCCACACTCTAGGGTGGTCGCCCGTTCTGACGTTTTCGCTCCCCTTTTGTCGAAACCCTGTCCTCTCTCGCCGTCCCGCTTGGTCGGTACCTCACTTTCGTGAAGGTAAGGAGCGGTACTTCTCCCCGACCCTGTTCCTCTTGCTCAGTGAGTTCCTTGTCCCTTAAAATACAATGACCCTAAGGTTTATGCCGTGACGCCGACACGTGTCTTTAGAGTCAGTTTCCTTGAAATCCTTGAAAGTTTATTTATTTCGATTGGCGGGGGGAGAGTATCAATAGATGTAGTCTTACAGCGCTTCAAGGAATCTTAAGGCACCTTAAAGACTAATTTGCTTTATTTGGCACTAGTTTTTGTGTCCATCAGAGGCGTACTGCAGTATCTTCCGACTCGTTGCTTGATTTACATTTAAGAAAGACGTTTTCTGGCAAATTCTGTCTTGTCAAGAACTTTTGGAGGTTACATCTAAGAGCAACTTTCCTGCCGAAATCCATCTTGCCAAGAACTTTTGGTCTTTTAAATTCTTCACCCTGGTACAAGCCCAATGAACTGGTGTTTGAGCCACAAAAGGTAACGTATTATATGATGATTTTCTAGTGGTCTGTACAGGTATTGCCTATTCTTGTGTTTGTATTTCATTTTGTACGGACCACACATCTCTTCTTCATTTCAGTTCATCTTTGTCTTCTTCCTCGGTTTACCATATTGCATTTCCATTATTTTTCAACTCATGGGTCAAAAGCCTTTTTACTTAATTGTGTATGCACAATACTTTACCTGTAGTAACAAGGGAAATCCATCTGTAACTCTTATGGTGTAATTGCCTTGCCTTACTCCTGGCATTTCATGAAGATCTATGTGTAACCTTCCTGTGTTTTCCCATTACACCTTGGTGGGGGGAGGGAGAGATATTTCCATTATATAGTGGGAATGGCTTCTCATTAGTAGTTCCATGAGACCTGCACTTAGAAGCACCCCATATTTAGGTACTCCTCATTAAGGATGCTTCCAGATGGATGGCTGAAGGCATTGTGCGGCTGTTCTTCCTTAATGGATGCTTTTGTCCATGTAAACAAAAGACAGAAGCAGATAGAAACGTGGAATGTAGTATCATCAGGACTTTCACCGTAAAATTTCATGTTTGAACCTGGATGTGTGTGTCACACACTAAAAGCCTCATCTAGGCGAGATGGATTGCAACAGGTTCATAGAAGACCCAGTGCAGAGTGGTCCCTGGAGGGCTGGTTTGAGGAGCACATAGAAGAGGCTTACCCCCAACATTTCAGATGTGGGGCTTTTCCATTCATGGGAAGATGGTCAGCTGTTGGAAAAAACATTGCACAGCAAAAGGTGAAAGAACCACTTGCCTTTTTGCCTGGAGGCTGAAAGAGAAGGTATAACAGTATTCTTTAAATTCCTGACAGTCTGTCACATAGAAGAAGAGTGAAGACTTGCTGTCTTTAGAACACATTGAACAGCCTTAAAATTACAGTAGAATCGTTTTTTGGCTGAACATTAGGAAGAATTTCTTGACAGTAAAAGCTAGGTGAGAGCTGTTGAACAATGAGGTCAAGTTGATTTGAAACAAAGCCTTCCTATTTAAAGAGGTGTATAGTACATGACAGGGGAAAAAAATCTGACATAGGAATGAGCTGTAGAGGCAAAGAGTTTAAATTGATCACCTGGGTCATGCAAATAGTTGCTGTCTTTTGTGTAAGACTAATGTCCTTTTAAAAAATTCTGTTAAAAAATTAAAGTTTATTTTTTATAATATTCACATTCTTCTGTTAAAAATCTGTTGGTGAATCAGATTGTTTGTTCTTATTTTCTGCTTTTTGAAATTAAATCCTCCTTTTCTTTCTTTCCCTCCCCCCCGCCAGAGAAGTAATTACAGCTACCATATATTTAAGAATGTGTTTTGGAAAGCTATCAGTTTTGCTGTTGCTGATCTTTAGCTTTGCCAGCCCAGGTAAAAATAATTCGACTTTTCACCTTCTTCAATTAAGGTATGATAAACTTAAAAACATAGCCAGAAGCCTTTAACATTTCTGCAGAGTAGAAAATTCTGTCAATTTAGTGACACTGTTTTGTGCCACTTCCCTACATACTTACATTGTGCAAGTAACGATCTCCTTGGAGACACACACACACCCCACAAACACACCCTGCTGCCACTTGCCAATGGCAATACTTGCATTAGTGGCACAATTCTATGTTTCTACTTTAGTACTGTAAGATGTTTCACTCAGGAGAAGCTTTATAGGATACTGGTCAAAGTATAAGTGTCACAGATTCAGAATAACACAAATGCAACAGTGGATGATACTTTTTTTGGACTACTTAACAAGTAAATAAGTAGACAATGTTTTAGTGGTCCAATAAAAAGTATCACCCACTCTTGAATTAGTGTAACCTTGGGGACCACACAGCCTAATCCTTGTTCTATAGGTTCAGTGTCTTAATTAATCAGCTGCCTTGAATTTTTCCAGCTAATTAATTACCTTATAATGCAACAAAATGTGTGTGTGTGTGTGTGTGTGTGTGTGTGTGTGTGTGTGTGTGTGTGTCCCCTAAGGTGTCTCAGAAACAGTAAGAAAGATTGGCCTTTTCAGCCGCACTAGACGCTGTTCCAAGTCCTCAATACAGAGCATGTTACCATAGTCTCTCGAGACTGAAGGAAGCCTGAGAAGGCTCCACAAACACATTAGAGCTTATTTTCAGGGGATGTTTTATTTTTTAGGTGTCTCAGAAACAGTAAGAAACATGCTTATTGGCCTTGCACGAGGCTTAGTTCTGTAAGGAAAGTACCACCACAGCAAGAGCCATTTCTTACTAAATAAACAGTTGCAGTTGTTCGCTACGCATTTTTAAGAAAATGCTACCGAGTTTCCCTGAAAATAAGACAGGGTCTTATATTAATTTTTGCTCCAAAAACACATCTCGAATTCGCCTTTTCAGCCACACTAGATGCTGTTCCAAGTCCTCAATACAGAGCATGTTACCATAGTCTCTCGAGACTGAAGGATGCCTAAGAAGGCTCCAAAAACACATTAGGGCTTATTTTCAGGGGATGTTTTATTTTTTTCATGTATAACAATCTACATTTATTCAAATACAGTCATGTCTTCATCTGGTTGCTGCACAATGGTGGAGGGTGGGGTTTCAGTTAACTGGGGCTTATATTTTGGGGTAGGGCTTATATTACGAGCATCCTGAAAAATCATACTAGGGTTTATTTTCAGGTTAGGTCTTATTTTTGGGGAAATAGGGTAGCTTTCTGTTTTGGAGGCCATTGAAAGTATGACTGATTATGTTTTGTCACTGATCTGTAACTAATATTTTTTGCTCAGTAAAGAAAGAAATCAGAAGATTTAGAATCAACTGCATTTAGTAACAGCTACACAAATGCATCTTTCTCATATTAGTGGGAAAGTCTCCCTTCAACTAGGACAGACTGGATAAAGAAATGGACCATTTCTACAGCCCATTTCTTGGACCCCCCAAGAAATGGGCTGTAGCTTATGATAAATTTGATGAGCTTAATCGGAAAGTAGATAAAAAGACAATCATTTGATAGCCAAATAATATTTATATACTGCTAGAGTGACAAGGTTTGAGAGAAAAGTTTATTTGTTTGTCTGAAAAAAATGAAACATATTATTGCCTAGTTTTTGAGAAAATCAATAACTTCTATCTCCCCCCCCCCAGAAAAGCTTTGCAGGAGACACTCGCCTATTAATGTAATAGAAAATGAATATTTTTCAAATTGCTGCCCCTCAATGGAACAAGATGAAGGATACACTGTAAACTGGTACAGAGAAAAAGAAGGGAAGTGGATGGCAATTCAAGAAGACAGCAGAACTGATTTGAATGGGACATATTTGCGGTTTTGGCCAGCTGTCCTGAATGACACAGGAAACTATAATTGTTGCATCAGGTAGGCACAGTTCATGCCACTTGGTTAGCTACATGCATACTTGTTCTTATGTTTACAAAGGAAACAATATTGTAGTTTGTCTTGATGTGCTAGTTTTATACTTGCTTAAACCAATGATACACCAATCAAAACCTATTATCAGTTGTGATAAGTAACATTCGTCTCTCCTTTAGCTTTATTTATTTATTAGATTTTTATACTGCCCATCTAGCAAACCAGCTATGATTTACAACGATACCTTTGACAAATATGTTGTAAAATTGACCAACTGCATCCAAATATTATGAATAACTATAACTACTACAATGGCTTCACAAAACTAGGGCATCAGTCAAGTAGGGCGAAATGGTGGTCCCATTCTTAGAAGACATATCATAATTTAAACCAAGGCAAGTACGAGCTGTTTTCACACAGTTTCACCTAGAAGGGAAAGGAAATAGTTCTTCCTGGGTTTTGTGCGTGAGATATGTCTAAACTTTATTGCATTTCTCTTGGATTTTGATTTGGTGCTTCAAAACGTAGTTGAACTGTTGTCTGGATCATAAAGAGTATAGAAGAGGGCTGACCTGATCTAGAAAATTACTTAATCTGCCAGGATTTCCAGCAGCAGCAGCTACCTGCCCATCCCTTCAGTTTGCTGCAGAGGGACCCCCACCTCCACTAGCACTCCAGAGTATATTTGGGATATTGTGGTGGGGCAAGAGGGGCAGGGGAAGTCCATTCCTATAGTGGTCCCTGGACAGACATAGTTGAATGTATCCTGTTATCTCAGTACTGTTACAGCAGTCTGAATGTGAAAAAACTGGGCTTCCATTCCTTGTGGAGAGCTGGAGCCATAAACAGATAGAGTAGTCTGTCCCACTTTGGTGAAAGTGGTGACAGATGGGGCAAGGCTACCGTGCTCCATCTCACTTGTAGGTGTTTGCCATGTGCTTCAATAATAACTCAATAATAACTTTCTACAAGCCATACTCTTTGAAGGCTGAAACAGATATTGCAATGGCCTATCATTAGAAGTCGACAGATATGACTGAGGTTGCCATTTATGTCTTTAGAGCTTTTCTTAGTCTAAGGAGGAGCTACTTGTGACATTAGTTTCTGCCTTGAGCTTCTGCGCCTGTGTGCAGAGAGAGAGCTTTAAATCTCATCACAAACCAAATGATTTCATGAAACATATTTTAGGAAACCTTGGATTATAAACCAGATTGAGACATAAGAGTACAATCCAAGTTCATCTAAATTAGCCCTTATTTGACAGTTGTACATATTGATTTACCACAAGAAACATGACCTATTTTGTGAATTTTATGTGACCTACTATGATTAATCTTAACAGTCAGATATGGAACTTTCTGTCATAATGACTTCAGAGGGGGGAAATACCCAAGTTTATCCTTATTCTCTCATAGAAATTTGTGACACATATGCTTAACTTTGGCATGCACACTTAATTTTCATCTCATGGAGAAACATAGTGTCCTATAAAAAGTAGGATTTTTCCTTTACCAGGAAAATTCTGGAGATGGCATCTTCAGGTAATTGCTCTTGCTTATTATACTTGCTTGTTAGTAATGACATATTAACAGAAATCAATTAATTTTACAATTGCTTGCCTGGTCTCATCAGATTACTCTAATGCACACTCCCACCACCACTGGGAGCAACCCCAGCCCCCATCTCCCCAAATATTTAATGTGGGGGAAATTCTCTCAGAATATCCGCTTCTGCTCTAGTGGGTGGAGGAACGTTGTTGTCATATTTGAGGGAGATAATTTATTCCTCGCTGCCCCAATTATAATTTTTGGAAAAAATATTTTGGGGTGCTCTCTTTTGGTACCAATCTTGTTACTGAGAAAGCAAGGGGCCCTTTTCAGCAAAGCCCCCATTTTTTAAAAAAACGGGGGAAACAGTGGAAGTTATATGGGTGAGTGAAGCCCTCCAAGATCCAGAGATGGGTGTCAGCAGCCCTTGGACCTCTGGAGATCATGGCTGCTGTTCTAGGTAATATAGAGGCTATGTTAAGAAATCCTATTTTTTTAGACTACAATTTCCAGGTCACTATGGCCAATGACCATGTAGACTGGGGATTCTGAGTGTTGTACAACCCACTATCACCACCATCGTAAAAAACAACAACCCATAAAAGAAAACCAAAAAAATCAACCACAACACCCAAATGAATCCAAGTCATAAACAAAACCCTGTTCTGAGCACTGGGTTAGTTCTCAGTATCTTTAAATAGTTACACACATCCTTCTAGTACGTATGTTTATTCAGAAAATACATGAACTGTGAACTGGAAGATCATTTTAAATAGATCACACCAGAGTAATAGATCTTATTAATAGGACCTTGGAATTCTGTTAAGCTGAACAATGTTTTCCTC